GAGGGAAGTGAAGAAAGCCATCTCTGAACAGGAAATCAATAACTGTGTCGTCAATGGAGTCGATGAGATCGAGGCGGGAGATGTCAGGGACGGTAAGCACTCCTCTCACGAGTAATGACTTCTTTTATGGATCCCTTTCAGACTATTTTTATTATTTACTATTTAATTAACTTTTATTAATTAGTTACTTATATATTTCCATTCAAACAAGAATTCTTTATTTCTATATTTGTTTTCAAATAATCAAAAAGAACCAGTATAAATTTATTTATACTGTACATATACATAACTACATTCTTTAATAATAATGATATATTTATTTATTGGCAAATGTAATTGAAATAGAAATATTTGATAATGAAATGACGCTAATATCATATACTGTAATGTTATTTGAAACAAAGAATAGGATGCAATGAATCGTACAAATCATATAAGATTTAAAGGGAATGTGTATTAAAAGTGAATAATTGAATGGATGTGTTGTAGAGTTGGACGACTCGTACAACAGGATGTGGTCAATGCGTGGCTTTCGTCAGGCCTACCACTTCTGGAAGGAGAATAAGAGGGCGTCCTCTCCAGCCCTCCACTCATTCATTACGTACGTAACGCTTCCGTGGCATCACATCATCGCTGATCTCTTCTCCAATAGACAGCAATCTATACTTACATTCGAGTTGTAATCCATGACTTCATCAATGATTTGTATTTCCATTGCATTCCACACAACATTTCATTCATATTTGATATATTATTAAATATATATTATTATAAATTATATACTATATTATATTATATATATTTTTCTTCTCCGCGTATATTTTAAGAGACAATTTCCAGTAAAATATGATAAATATATTTCATATTCACTTTTCAAATACATACCCTTTTTATACGAGTCCTTCAAATAGTATTGTTTAGATTAGAATTAAATTAATTTACCAACAATTGTATAATTATTGGTCATTTTTCAATGGTTTAGTTTGTGAACCTATTTAAGCCTAAACTCAAATGTCAATCCATATTATTAATTTAAATAGTGTGTAAAGTATCTTAATATACAGTAGTACTGATGATGTTACTATAAAATATATACTTTACTGTATATTCAAAAGTAATTTGGAGTTAAGGTTTAGGTCTCAAATGCTCGTTAAATATTAAAGTGACAAAATAATAAGTTTATTTAAATTAAATGAATATTAAAACCTGTGATTTATATAATAGTGATAATATTTACAATTCTATTATCAATAACATAAATGTCAAAAAATATTGAAAGTTAAACACAAATAAAGAATTTGTCTTTAATTTAGAATTTTATTGAAATTTTGTTTGGAAATACAATTTTGCTTTTAATTAATTTTTAAAAATTGGTAAAAGTGGACAGTCATGGAGTGGGTCCAACACTTCGCTTTCTATTCATTATTTCTTTATTATTCTGTTATTAATGCCTCGGATTTGGGATTAATATTCTGTCATAAATATGATAGAATTGATGGACAATTTACTTTTGGCACTAAACCAGCCCTTAACCAAACTCCACATTCCTTAAAGAGGTTACTACGGTATCCCTCATATCAAGTAACAAAATCCATTAAGAATTTGCGTCAAGACCAATTAGTGATAAAAATAAGAACATATTTATAGTTATGTAAATCTAAAGGTTTGTATAGAGAAGTTGGAGTTAAGTTGGAGTCTATGACATCAATAATATATTGGATCAGACGGTCAACTTCAACTC